GGGCAGGGCTGAGGGGCAGGGCTGAGCTGGGGGTAGTGCAGGGAGCTGGGCTGGGCAGGGAGCTGGGCTGGGAGCTGGGCTGGGCTGGGAGCTGGGCTGGGAGCTGGGCAGGGAGCTGGGCTGGGCTGGGCAGGGAGCTGGGCAGAGCTGGGCTGGGCAGGGAGCTGGGCTGGGCTGGGCAGGGAGCTGGGCTGGGCTGGGCAGGGAGCTGGGCAGAGCTGGGCTGGGCAGGGAGCTGGGCTGGGCAGGGAGCTGGGCTGGGCTGGGAGCTGGGCTGGGCAGGAAGCTGGGCTGGGAGCTGGGCTGGGCAGGGCAGGGAGCTGGGCAGAGCTGGGCTGGGCAGGGAGCTGGGCTGGGCAGGGAGCTGGGCTGGGCAGGGAGCTGGGCTGGGCAGGGAGCTGGGCTGGGCTGGGAGCTGGGCTGGGCTGGGAGCTGGGCTGGGCTGGGAGCTGGGCTGGCAGGGAGCTGGGCTGGGCTGGGAGCTGGGCTGGGCTGGGAGCTGGGCTGCGCTGGGAGCTGGGCTGGGAGCTGGGCTGGGAGCTGGGCTGGGAGCTGGGCTGGGAGCTGGGCTGGGCTGGGAGCTGGGCTGGGCAGGGCAGGGAGCTGGGCAGGGAGCTGGGCTGGGAGCTGGGCTGGGCTGGGCTGGGAGCTGGCTGGGAGCTGGCTGGGCTGGGAGCTGGGCTGGGCAGGGAGCTGGGCTGGGAGCTGGGCTGGGCTGGGAGCTGGGCTGGGAGCTGGGCTGGGCTGGGAGCTGGGCTGGGCAGGGTAGGGAGCTGGGCAGGGAGCTGGGCTGGGAGCTGGGCTGGGTTGGGCAGGGAGCTGGGCAGAGCTGGGCTGGGCAGGGAGCTGGGCTGGCAGGGAGCTGGGCTGGGCTGGGAGCTGGCTGGGCAGGAAGCTGGGCTGGGAGCTGGCTGGGCAGGGCAGGGAGCTGGGCAGAGCTGGGCTGGGCAGGGAGCTGGGCTGGGCAGGGAGCTGGGCTGGGCAGGGAGCTGGGCTGGGCTGGGAGCTGGGCTGGGCAGGGAGCTGGGCTGGGCAGGGAGCTGGGCTGGGAGCTGGGCTGGGCTGGGAGCTGGGCTGGGCTGGGAGCTGGGCTGGGGGCTGGGCTGGGAGCTGGGCTGGGCTGGGAGCTGGGCAGGGAGCTGGGCTGGGCAGGAAGCTGGGCTGGGAGCTGGGAGCTGGGCTGGGCTGGGAGCTGGCTGGGCTGGGAGCTGGGCAGGGAGCTGGGCAGGGCAGGGAGCTGGGCAGGGAGCTGGGAGCTGAGCTGGGCGTGGCTGGGGGCTGGGAGCTGGGCTGGGGGCTGGGAGCTGGGCTGGGGGCTGGGAGCTGGGCTGGGGCTGGGCAGGGAGCTGGGCGGCCTGGGGCAGTGTCTGGGGCTGGGGGACAGGGCTGGGGGCTGGGCAGGGCTGGGGGACAGGGCTGGGGCTGGGCTGGGGGCCTGGGCTGGGGCTGGGGCTGGGCAGGGCTGGGGCTGGGGACAGGGCTGGGGGCTGGGGCTGGGGACAGTGCTGGGGCTGGGGCTGGGGGACAGTGCTGGGGGCTGGGGCTGGGGGACAGGGCTGGGGCTGGGCTGGGGCTGGGGGACAGGGCTGGGGCTGGGCAGGGCTGGGCTGGGGGACAGGGCTGGGGGAGCAGGCTGGGGGCAGGGCTGGGGCTGGGGGACAGGGCTGGGGCTGGGCAGGGCTGGGGCTGGGGGCTGGCCAGGGCTGGGGGCTGGGCTGGGGCTGGGCAGGCTGGGCAGGGCTGGGCTGGGGGCTGGGCTGGGCTGGGGGCAGGGCTGGGGCTGGGCAGGGCTGGGGCTGGGGACAGGGCTGGGGGCTGGGGCTGGGGACAGGCTGGGGGCAGGGCTGGGGCTGGGCAGGCTGGGGCTGGGGCTGGGGACAGGGCTGGAGGCTGTGCAGGGCTGGAGGCTGGGGGACAGGGCTGGGCAGGGCTGGGGCTGGGCAGGGCTGGGGCTGGGCAGGGCTGGCAGGGCTGGGGCTGGCAGGGCTGGGGCTGGCAGGGCTGGGGCTGGCAGGGCTGGGGGCTGGGCAGGGCTGGGGCTGGGGGACAGGGCTGGAGGCTGGGCAGGGCTGGGGCTGGGCAGGGCTGGGGCTGGGCAGGGCTGGGGCTGGGGCTGGCAGGGCTGGGGCTGGGCAGGGCTGGAGGCTGGGCAGGGCTGGGCAGGGCTGGAGGCTGGGCAGGGCTGGGCTGGACTGGAGGCTGGGCAGGCTGGGGCTGGGCGGGCTGGGCAGGGCTGGGGGCTGGGCAGGGCTGGGCTGGGCAGGGCTGGAGCTGGGCAGGGCTGGGGGCTGGGCAGGGCTGGGCTGGGGACAGGGCTGGAGGCTGGGCAGGGCTGGGGGCTGGGCAGGGCTGGGGGCTGGGCAGGGCTGGGGGCTGGGGGCTGGGCAGGGCTGGGGTCTGGGCAGGGCTGGGCAGGGCTGGGGGCTGGGCAGGGCTGGAGGCTGGGCAGGGCTGGGCTGGGGCTGGGCAGGGCTGGGGGCTGGGCAGGGCTGGGGGCTGGGCAGGGCTGGGGCCTGGGGGCTGGGCAGGGCTGGGGGCTGGGCAGGGCTGGGGGCTGGGCAGGGCTGGGGCTGGGGCTGGGCAGGGCTGGGGGCTGGGCAGGGCTGGGGGCTGGGCTGGGGCTGGGGGACAGGGCTGGAGGCTGTGCAGGGCTGGAGGCTGGGGGACAGGGCTGGGGCTGGAGGCTGTGCAGGGCTGGGGCTGGGGGCTGGGCAGGCTGTGGCAGGCTGGGGCTGGGGGACAGGGCTGGGGGCTGGGTTGGCAGCTCAGTTCCCTGGCTTCACTTGCTGAGGATTCCAGGCACTTGGTACTGGCCAGAAATTCTTCTCGAGTGTTTGTTTTACAGTAAACGTCAGGGCTTCGAAGGCAACTGAGATTTATTAGATGGGAGGAGCCTGCGGCTGAGCTATTAGCACAAAGTCACTTTATCAGCTCATCCACTCACTGACAGCAGCCAGTTACTGCACAGTGGCCAGGAGCAAACACTGACCTGCTTCATGTCACCTAGCACACCAGCTCTCCCCTCCCCGCTCACTGATCATCATAATAATAATAATAATAATCCTTGCATTTGATATAGCACTTTTCACGTCTTCTCGACGTCCCAAAGCGCTTCACAGAATATACTGTAAAGTGAATTGACTGTATATTTGTGGGCGAACGCGGCAGCCAATTGCGCACAGCAATGTCCCACAAACAGTCATAGATTGAAAATGACCAATTTATTATTGTTTTGTTTTGGAGGGATTATTATTAGGTTCTGTGTGGAGTAAGGAAACTTGCCCAAGGTTTCGCCTTCTGCCTGGAATTGAACTCCGGTCTCTCGCTTGCAAAGTGAGTGCTCTAACCACTGAGCTGCAGGACTCCACACACATCATCACACATAGCCTCTGCCTCGCCCCCTCCTGCCCCTCCTTTACAGCCCACCTGCCAACTTCTTTTGGACTGTGCTTCTGGGCATCTATTTCTCTGCCCCTCCCCCCCGCCCTCCTGCAGTGAGAGGAAAGTGGGTTAACGTTTCAGGTCGATGGCCGAAGGTCGCTGGGAACACTCAGCAGGTCAGGCAGCATCTCTCTCCATAGATGACCAAGGTCATTGACCTGAAACGTTAAGTCAGTTTCCTCTCTCCATACACGCTGCCTGATCTGTTGAGTGTTCCCCAAGAACTTCTGTGTTTATTTCAGA